TCAGGAGAGGTCTGCCAAGCCATGTGGTCACCTCCGGGGCAGGCGGGAATAGAACTCATGGGGAAGTGGCTTTAGCTTCTCAGTGCCGTGCTTTAACCCTCTGCGCCACCAGGGAGGGCCTTTTTCCTGTATTCTTAAACTTAACCCAAGTCTCAAAGGATTCTTTTAAAGTATATCAACTGGCTCAGCTCTTTAATCTTAACATTATGGAACCATTGATGTCCTTTCCCTTTCTTTAAGAGAAGTGCTGTTTACCGCCGTATTCTATGTATTTCATTTAAGATAGTTGTAAACTTTGTGTGCTAATCTTTTAATTTTGAGTGTTCTGTTTCTCACAAAATTTGGCTATAATCCTTTAGACTCTGACAAAAATTTTATGGAGTTGATATGGGAAAGGAGCTAAAATTAGAATTTCTAACATGAAACTCACATTTATTACTTTATATAAACACATATATGTGTTTATATATATATATATACACATATCACATCTCCTGACAAAACCCCTACTACATATGTGACATAGATATAACTGTCCTTATCTCAGCAAGTATGAGGAATAGATTTCATCCCCATTTAAGTATAGAGGTGCTTGAACTTTTAGAAAAGTTGTCACATTACTTCTATGTGACAGAGTCAGCATTTTCTGACTCCAAAGTTTGTGATCTTATTTAGTACACACTGCTTTTTATTCAAATTAAATTCTATAAGGAATTTGATAAATATTTGTTGAATGAAGGAATAACAAGCTTCTGACATGTTTATGTCATAGAAGTGTGTCTAGACTTTTTTCTTATTAGTACATTCATTGATTGATTGTTAAGTCACAGGCCCTCTGTGGTAAACCTTCATGATGTTTGTTAGACACTAAGGTTTTAGTTTTATAATTTCCATTAAGTTTAAGGTTTTTCCAGACTTTGAACTTTTAATTTCTATTTTTATTGTTGTGTTGGTTGTTCTCTTTTGCTTGTCAACTGCCTTTTGACACAATCTGTGCCTGAACATTGGACATATAATTATAGGTGAAACCAGTTCACTTACTTTGGTTACAGAGCTGAACTTTGTACACAATCAATCTGCTTGCTGAAATTTTCTAAGGATCAGCAGACGGAAATAGTAAATCACTGTGGTTTTCTGTTCCTTTTCAGCTTTCAGAAGAATTACTAGATAAATGGCTCTCCTTCCCAGAGTCTCAGCATGTTCCCCTCTGCCAGCACATGCTGGGCTTTGCTATGAAGGCTGTTACGCAGATGGTACTGGGTCGTACATTTGAAGATGATCAGGAAGTCATTCGCTTCCAGAAGAATCATGGCACAGTAAGTCTAGGGACAAATTTACTTATATTTTAAAAGTTTATTTATTTATACATACTGAACTGGGGTACTGGGGTACAGGCCAGAGGTGCAGGGGTGGTGGGAGGATTCTCCAGAGACAGAGTGGAGAGCAGAACAGGCAGAGTGATGAAGTACATTGCTGAGGGGAGCAACAGGAAGACAGCAGATGTCTGCAGCACCATGTGGGTCAGCTCCCTGTCTGGGGATAGAGCTTGAGCTGCTGTGGCTGCAGCTGGCTCCGTAGTGCTATGCTTCATCCAGTTGTGCCACCAGGGAGGTCCTGTCTAGGGTCAAATTTAATGTTGTTCTTTCATCAGTTTGAGTAACTGAATAATGTATACTTTACCACTCAAGAAGATTTAAGATTTTATAGAACTTACTTGTTTTGAATGAAAAAAACAATGGAAGCAAATAATTATCATCTTTAAAAATTTAGGCATTTATTGAGCTCTTTTTGAAATTAAAGAAATGTGTGACTCAAGAAAGTTTCTTTTAATATTTAGAAATATGCTATAATACGGAATTCTGGGATAAATGGGAAAATCGGATTCAATAGAACTGAACTATGTCCTATGTAGAAAGAAGTTAAAGCCAATGGAACACTGAAATCTGAAAGGAGAATGATTTAAATAAAGACTAATTTATTTCATTTAATTACCCTCCTTCCCCCTCCACTGATTACTTTTAGTGGTCTAACCTCTTTGATCTGAAACAGTTCCTCATCTTTACTTTGTTTCTTGACATTGACAGTTTTTGAATGTACAGGTCAGTTATTTTGTAGAGTGACCTTCAATTTTGGTTTGCCTATTATTCCGTGAGTAGATCCAGATAATCTATACTTTTGACAGGGGTCTGGTATTTTCTTAATGGCACTAAAAGTTGTTAAAGGAAAGTTTTCAGACTACAAACATGGCTTGAAAATCCTTTCTCAGATGACCTTTTTTTTAAAGATTTATTTATTTGTACATACAGAACTGGGGTACAGGCCAGAGGCTGAGGGGTGGCAAGAGGCTTCACCAGAGACAGTGGGGAGCAGCGGCAGAACAGGCAGATCAACGAAGTACACTGCTGAGGGGAGCAGCGGGCGGATCAGGAGAGGTCTGCCACGCCATGTGGTCACCTCCGGGGCAGGCGGGAATGGAACTCATGCGGAAGTGGCCTTATCTTCTCAGTGCAATGCTTTAACCCGCTGTGCCACCAGGGAGGGCCCAGATGATCTTTTAATGTATGAAACACCACAGGGTAGCTGTTGTCCAGTCACTAGAAATAATGGCCATTGGTGAGCACAGAAGTGGTGACCACAGCGGCTTAGGCTGACGCTTTGGGGAAGTGTCGTTTATTGTATGAGACATACTCATTTCACAGGTGTTAAGTGTTCACTGCTCTGGAAATGCTCTGTGCTGGCCCTATTTATCTGTCCTTTCCTCTGCGCCACCCCACACCCTTCCTAGTAATCACTGATCTTTTTTATTTTTTTGTATACATGGATTGCCATTTCCAGAATGTCAGATAGTATACAGGCATCTCAGATTGGCTTTTTTCACATAGTAACATACGTTTAAACCTTCTAAGCTTCCTCCATGTCTTTTCATGTTCTGTCTTTATAGCATTATGATATATTCCATTGTCTGGATATACCACGATTAATTTACCCATTCACTTACTAAAGGATATCTGGGTTGCTTCCAAACTTGGGCAATTATGAATCAAGAGTTGCTGTGAGCTTTACTTACTGTTTAGAGCCTGCAGCATATTTACTGTGGTTGTTTTAAATTCTAAGTCTGATAATTCCAACACACCTACCACATCTGATTGTGGTACTTGTTTTGTTTCTTCAAATAGTGGTTTGGCCTTTTTGATCCTTTGGTATGTCCTGTAGTTTTTTCTTGGTAACTAGAAACAATGTCTACAAATAGGCCTTTATTAACATGGACAAGGTGTGGAAAGTGGGGAGCACTGCATAGTCTTGTGATTAGGTCTCAGTCTTTTGGTGAGCCTCTACCTCTGCCTCTCAGGTGGGGTAGGATGACAAGAGTGGGCTGGAATTGGTGCTTAACTTGCTCTGACCTAGAGTTGAATATTTTCCTTCCCCTGCTCAGTTAGGTTCTGACACTATTCCAGTGGGTTAACTGGATTCCAGTGGGTTAACTGGATTCCTGTAGGAGCAAGTGTTATTAAGAACAGTGTGCTCTGGCTTTTATCAAACTGATTATTTTTTTCATCCCCCAAGGGGATTTTTTTAAACCATTATTTATGGTGGGAACCTGACTGAGCTCCTGTAGATAAATCTTTCAGTATTTACTGCTCAGTCACCCCAGGAGAGGTCTACAGTGGAATTTTTAGTTTGCAAAGTTGTGTATATTGAACCTCCAGCAGTTTGTCAGTTTTTTTTTTTTTTTTAAAGATTTATTTATTTATTCGTACATATTCGTACAGAGATGTGGAGGGTGAGAGGATTCACCAGAGACAGAGAGGGGAGCAGAACAGGCAGATCTACGAAGTACACTGCTGAGGGGAGGGGTGGGCGGGTCAGGAGAGGTCTGCCATGCCATGTGGTCACCTCCGGGTCAGGCGGGATCAAACTCATGTGGAAGTGGCTTAAGCTTCTTAGTGCTGTGCTTTAACCCGCTGCCCCAGCAGGGAGGGCCTAGTTTGTCAGTTTTAATTCTGTTTTTTCTTCACTGGTTCCTGAGGTAGATACATTTGTAAGTCTGTTTCCATTAGACATGTTTTTACCTGTCTCTCCTTTCTTGGGCATCCCCAGTTTTCCTTGAACCTTCCCCTGCCTTAGAGATCCAAGAAGAGCTATTGATCTTTAATTCCATTCAGCTTTTTTGTTCTAGGAACAGAATAACTAAATGAATGCCACTTTTCCATTATACATTTTTGTTCTGTGTTGATATCTCACTTAGAAACTCTTGTCTCACTTTAAAGGCAGTCCTAATATATATATTTACCATAGGTTTTTATAATACCTTTTAATAGTTTAAATTTTTACCTTTAAGTAATCTGAAAGGTCTGTCTTTGCAAACAGAGTTGGGAGTATACTAATTCTTTCAAAACTTTTGAGTTATAAAAAGTTAAAGCATTTTCAGGAGCTAATTACCCAATTCAGAAATAATTGGAAGCCTATTCTGTTTTTTATTGGACTTTAGCCAAAGTACATCAGTATCACAGGTGAAGTAAAATTTAGAATGCCCTTTGCTTTTTATTTATCCACTGATGTTGGTATCATAAAAAATTGATTACTGACTATTCTGCCTTTATCTTCCATAACCTACTTCCTTTTCTTTCCAGTGGTTTATCATGTTGTTTGTGTTTTAGAGGTACAGGTTCCCACCTCAGGTGTAGTGGCCACACCACACTCACCACCAACTCATCATCCTCCACTGCAGTCCACTGTGTTCCCTCCTTGCTTGCTCTCTGCCTTCCACCTCCCTCCTGGTAGTTTCAGTTCTACAGTCAGATTTCGGGGCTTGTTATTGGTTTGGCTTTATCTGGTCCTTTGTTAGTGACACTCTCCAGTATTTGTCTTTCTCTTTCTGACTTACTTCGTTCAGCATAAACCTCTCCATCCTATTCTTTTAAATAAGAGGAATTTTTGACTTTTCAATTATAATTAGTTTGAAAGTGCCTGACTGATACTAAAATACAGGTATAGCTCCTTCCTCCCCAGAGATTATAAGTATACAATTATGCAGCCACATGAAGGGAGAGATTAGCTATCAGCTCTGTTAATGAAGCAGGAGTTCCTCAGTTAAGATCATACATTAAGGGATTATTTAGAACAAAGGTATTATTTAGAAAATTTGCTTATTAGATAATAGATATGTTGTCCTATTTTCAGGTTTGGTCTGAGATTGGAAAAGGCTTTTTAGATGGATCACTTGATAAAAGTACAGCTAGGAAAAAACAATATGAAGATGGTAAGTTTCTTAATTTTTATTAAGGACCAAAGGCTCTGTGTCTGAATTTTAATAAGATTGTCTCTGAATCATGAGATTATAGGTCATGTATATGTTCTCTATTTTTTTGGCCCTGCATTTTTTTTTTAAAGGTTTATTTATGCATACAGAATTGGGGTACAGACTAAAGGTGCAGGGGCATTGAGTGGATTCACCAGAGACAGAGTGAGGAGCAGAACAGACCAACTGACGAAGTCCGCTGCTGAGGGGAGCAGTGGGCGAGACAGGAGAGGTCTGCTGTGCCATGTGGATCACCTCCAGGGCTGGGATCGAATTCATGCTGAAGTGGCTTTAGCTTAGTGCTGTGTTTTAACCTGCTGCGCCACCCGAAATGCCCTCCCCTGCATTTTTTATAATAAAAGTTATTCCTAAAGAAAGAAGAAAAAAAAAAGCAGTAAAATAGTAAAAGAGATGCTAATCCTCCCTGAAGAGTGAGGGTACTCTAGAACTGACGCAGTTTACAAGATTATTGGAAATTTTTAGGGTACAATCCTGTGGAAGTATCTTGACAATACATGTTGAGAGTAATAAATGATGGACAAAACTATTTAAAAGTTGTCATGATTATTTTTATAGTGCTATTATTTCTGCAAGTAGAAAACCAGAATTCACCAAAATATACAGTAACATGGAAATTACTAAGGAAATATTAGCATGATTAATTTTGTGTAGATGTTTAAAAAATTAATTTTTGGATAGGAGAGTTGATAGGTAGGCAGAAGTGCAGGGGGGTGAGAGGATTCACTGGAGCCAGAGAGAAAACAGGTAGATCTACTAAAATACACTGCTGAGGGGAGCAGTGGGTGAGATAGGAGAGGTCTGCTGGGCCATGTGGGTCAGCTCCCTGGCTTGGGATTGAACTATTGTTTCAGTGGCTGTGGAGAGCTTCACAGTGCTGAGACTTAATCCCTTGCACCACCTGGAAGAACCTGATCAATGAATATAAAATGAAAATTACTTGCTAATATGATGTGATTCTAAATAAGAGTAAATTACCTAGCAAGATACCTTAGGCATAGATCAGATGTGAGGTTTTGTTGAAAATAATTGATATTTATGTGAATGTGATCTTAAGGTGGGATCAACGTTTACTTTAAGTGCATGATTCGCAATGTGGTCTGTACACTAGGATCACTTTGGAGCTTAAATAAAAAAGACTGAAGATTAGGCCCCACCCTAGATCAATTTACTCAAAATCTGGAATGGAGGTGCCCTGGGCATCAAATATTTTTATAAAAGATCTTCATGTTATTCTAATGTGCTTATATTGTTGGGAATGTATAGCAATAGTTCCCAAACTTTGCTACACATTAAATGAAAAAATGTTGAAGCCTGGCTTCTACAACCCTTTTAACATTTGCATTTAATTAGCATGAAATGTGTCTTGAACCTGGCAATTTCTTTTGAAGCATCCTAGGATTCTAGTATGTAGCAGAGTTTGGAATCACTACATTAATTTTCCATTTTAATTACTAATGTGTATTGTACTCATTTTACTTTATAAATATTTGGCAAGGGTCTATAATATCCTGGCATTTTTTTGGTTCTGGGAAGTTATCAATGAACAAAATTAAACAAAAATTTCTGTGACAACATTCTCCTGGGAAGAGGCAAGTGATAGTTTAACTAAGTAATTTGAGTAGTGTGTTAAAAAATGAAAAGTGTGGCCCTCCCTGGTGGCGCAGTGGGTTAAAGCACAGCACTAAGAAGCTAAAGCCACTTCCACATGAGTTCCATCCCCGGCTGCCCCGGAGGTGACCACATGGCGCAGCAGACCTCTCCTGGCCCGCCCGCTGCTCCCCTCAGCAGTGTACTTCGTCGATCTGCCTGTTCTGTTACCCACTCTGTCTCTGGTGAAGCCTCTCGCCACCCCTGAGCCTCTGGCCTGTACCCTAGTTCTGTATGCACAACTAAAACAAATCTTAAAAAAAAAAAAGATGAAAAGTGTTATGGAGAAAATTAAATTAGGAAGAGGGATAGAAAGTGCCAGTAGGGGTGGAAAGATTGAAGTTTTAAGTGAGGCTATTTGTAAAGAGCTTGACAAGATTATGACTTTTGAACAAACACTTGTAAGAGATAAGGAAACCAGTGATAGAGAGCATGTTGCTGTCTGCATGTCTCAGGGAACATGAGGTTAGATCTCTTCCTCTGTATTTGAGAAAAACAGGTAAGTTCTGTTGCTGGAGTGAAGTAGGTAGAAGAGGCATAGAAGATGAAGTCAGAAAGTTTAGTGGATGGGATAGATTTTATCTGACTATAGTTTATTGTATGACTAAGCTGTTACTAAGAGATAAAAAGCCACTGGAAGGTTTTGAGCAGAGATTTGATCTGAATTATATTCAAAGACAGCTGTTACAGATTATAGCACTCCAGGGCAGAAGCAGGAAGACTAATTGGGGGGTTATTGTAGTGAATAAAGCAAGAGAGAAAATATAGTAGGCTAGTGACATAGAACAGGAGGTATAGAACAACAAAAATGATTAACAAGGACTAATCTGTACTTTGAAGATAGAACCATTAGCATGGACTGACAAGTTAGATATGTACTATAAGAGGAGACAAGGTTTTTGACCTAGTAATTAGAAAATGAAGTTTTTAGGAAGTAAGATGGAACAGACTGTGAGAAGTTCAAGTTTTTTGAAGAAAAATCAAGAATTCAGCTTGGGATATGTTGTTGTTTAATACTCTTCAGACATCCAGATGGAGGTGTTGAGTTACTGTGGATCTTGACTGGAAATAAAAATTTGGGCATGTAATTGTATATTATCTTTATATAGATAATATATGTGTACATTTATATCATTTATATAGAAATGTTAATTAAAACCTTAGTACTGATGATCACCAAGGTAGTGACTGTAGAGAGAAGAGACCCCCAAACTGAGCTGTACCCTTAAACATTCTATTACTGAGAAATCTGCGAGATAAGCAAGAAACAAAGGACATTTAGGACCAGCAGGCCATAAAGTGGGAAGAAAGTATGGAATCTAGGAGAGTGTGTAACCCAGGATTCCGAGGTAAAAGTGTATTCTGGAGAGGAAGTGGTCACTATCATCAGTGCCTGTGGTTCAAGTAAGATGAGGACCGAGAAATGATCTCTGGATAATTTTATTGACTCTTGATATCATCTATTTGTTCTAATATTTTAGATTTCAAAAATTTGTTTTTCTGATTATTTCACATCTGCTTCTACCTGTGAATGAATAATTCATGATTTGGGGTCATAAAGTTCAGAGGTCAGAATTTAGAAAGATGGTGGAAAATATCGGGGGAGAGGTATACATGTTTGGCAGCCTTTGAGGTGTAGTGTTTTACCTGGTGGTGATATGGGGTATTTGCTTTGTAATTATTCTCTTTCACTTATATGTATGATGCATGTTTTGTATGTATGTTAAATTTAACAAAAAAGGAGAAGGAAAGAAAGTAGGCAAGCTTACACTTAAATTTGTTTTTCTATTGTTGGATACTATTCTTATCACCAAAAATGTTATTCTGCAATAGTAACATCGATTAAAAATATATAAAAAAGCATCAATCTTCAAAAAATGCTTATATTCTAAAAGTCTTATTTTCTTATTTTCTAAGCCCTTATGGAACTGGAATCTATTTTTAAAAAAATCATAAAAGAACGAAAAGGAAAGAATCTCAATCATCATATTTTCATTGACTCCTTAGGACAAGGGAACCTCAGTGACCAACAGGTGATGTAACTGTAAATATCTGTCAACTGAAAGGTGTTCATTCATGTTTAGAACATGCTTTTTATTCATTTTAATACAGATGTGATCCTAGAAATCAATGGCTGTCTTTTTATTATATATCATAGATAGTACAGTATGTAGTCTCCTGCTGTTTAGCTCTTTGAAGTAGTTGTATATTGTTATTTAGTACTTTGGAGAACAAATGTTAAATCCAAATTCTCTGATTATGAAAGAGAAGAACTTTAGTAAGCTCATATCAGTTAAATTCTGCATGACTGGATGTACAGCTTGATTTGTTCCAGGTGTGTCTGTTACCCCAGCACACCATGCTGGTACCATTATTGTTACATTAGCAATTCATTGAAGGAAGCTTCTGCCCCTCTGTGCATATGCAAGTGCGGCAGACAAGACACAGGAGCTTCTCTGCATGTGTGGAAGTGCAGAAATTCAGCCATGCTCTGTCGCAATGGAGGCTTTTCTCCATTGTGTCTGAGGCTTTGTTGGTACACCAGGTTCAGCAAAAAAGAATCAGTAATATTACTAATATAAATGTTTACTGCATCAAAAAGGCAATGCAATATTTAGATTTGTTTTATGTGCGAAAGGCATAAAAAATAATGTATTTGTTTCCTTTTCTTGACCCTAATTTATACTTTCAGTTATTTTAGTAGGGCTAATATAGGCCACCTTACATTTCACACTTTCTAAACTTAGTTTTGTTCCCTAGATCCTAGAACACAGTATGATATTTTCTCTGGCTGGTTGCATAATAACTGCAAAATGTAAGTATAAATTAATTTCTCTTCGTGATAGATCATAAAATATACATGGACAAAGCCATTATAAAATAAAGGAAACATTTTGCAAAACCTCTCATAGAATTTCTTTCCCTATTCCGTTTTATTCTTGTTTTACGACTTGACTCACATAGCTACTCTTTTTTTTTAACCCCAGGTGCTCTCTGTCACCTCTGAACATTTCTTGACACAGCTTAGGAATTGTGAATTCTAGTTAGTGCCTTTAAAATGAGCTGCTATTGACACCTTTCTAGTGGGAGCAGCAAACTCTGCAGTTCCCTGATGCTGCTGCTCTCACTTGGGTTCCTATTCATCACTGAATATAGCTGCTATTATGGGCTATGCTCAGCAATGTAGGCCAAGGAATCATGATTTAGAAGCACTCCACTCTTGGTAGAATTGTAGGTGATTTTTTTTTAAAAAAAGATTTATTTATGCATACAGAACTGGGGTACAGTACTGGGGTACAGGGGCAGTGGGTAGATTCACCAGAGACAGAGTGGGGAGCAGAACAGGCAGGTCAATGAAGTATACTGCTGAGGGGAGCAGCAGGCGGGTCAGGAGAGGTCTGCTGCTCCATGTGGGACAGCTCCTGGGCTGGGGATTGAACTCGTGCTTGAGTGGCTTCGGAGAACTTCATAATGTGGCGCTTTAACCCGTTGCACCACCAGGGAGAGCCCTGTAGGTGATTTAAAATTCTGAGATGTGTGATACCTTTCTAAATCTCCTTGCTGATTTTTGGTTTATCAGCATACCATTTATATATTATATATTAAAATTTGTGTGTAGCATAAGAATATGCTGTCATAAAATGCTAAAGGATTAAAATGGCAATGTAAAATCTTTTCACATGAAGGATTTTACCGACTCATCTTTCTGTTCAATGACATTTTCATAGCTATCACAAATGTAAACTTTCCATAACTTTTCTGAAAAGTTTTTCCAAAACTTTTAACATTTATGATATTCAGATAATATAGGTTAAATGAAATTGTGGTAAATGTATGTCAAAAGTTAATGTATTTAACCTTTTAAAATTTATTTAACTCATGTTATTCCATTTATAACTTTTATTAGAATATATAGTATTATATTGATTTGAAATGAAAAAATACTGAGAAATATTTAGTGTTCTCTTCATATAATTAAAATGACTTTTTAGTACATGAGTTTTATTATGATGATGAAGATAATGATGCTTATGAAGTGAAGTTAGTTTAGAATACCTGTATATATTTAAGGATATAGCTTTATAACTCTACATATGCATATTATCACACTATACCTACTAACAGAGCCCCAGTAATCCTCCTTTTGAGTCCTTTGCTTTGTTTATATTCCACACATGAATTAAATCATCCAGTATTTATCATCTTTTAATTTATTTCTTACTATAAACCCTTTCAGTTACATCCAGAGTAACATGAATGACAGGTTTCTTTCTTTCTTTCTTTTTTTTTTACAGCTGATTAGTATTCCATTGTGAATATATACCACAGCTTCCTAAGACACTCATCTGTCTGTCTTTGTACACTTAGTTTGCTGAATTTTTTGTAAAAATGCATTACATTAAACTACGTCTTTGCTAAAGATATTTAAAAAATATGAACCATTCATGCTCTGGACACCTCTAAAAGAGAAGATTTCAAGGTTGAGACTGATATTTTATTTGCAATTTTTATAGGGAATTTTCAGAATACTACTATATCTTTGTATGGACATTGTTTTTATTTTTTTTTAAGTTTTTTTTTTTTTAAGATTTATTTATTTATTCATACAGAGCTGGGCTACAGGCCAGAGATGCGGAGGGTGAAAGGATTCACCAGGGACAGAGTGGGGAGCAGAACAGGCCTACTGATGAAGTACACTGCTGAGGGGAGCAGTGGGCGGGTCAGGAGCGGTCTGCATGCCTTGTGGATCTCCTCGGGGCAGGCGGGGATTGAACTCATGAGGAAGTGGCTTAATCTTCTTAGTGCAGCGCATTAACCCATTGTGCCACCAGGGAGGGCCATTTTTTTTTTAAAGTTTTTAACATGCAGAATAGACAGGAAACCTTGGTTAAAAGTTGCCCCTCTGGCCCTCCCTGGTGGCGCAGCGGGTTGAAGCACAGCACTGAGAATCTGGGGCCACTTCCTCATGAGTTCGATTCCCGCCTGCCCCGGAGGCGACCGCATGGCGTGGCAGACCTCTCCTGACCCGCCCGCTGCTCCCCTCAGCAGTGTGCTTCGTCGATCTGCCTGTTCTGCTCCCCGCTCTGTCTCTGGTGAATTCTCTCGCCCTCCGCATCTCTGGCCTGTACCCCAGTTCTGTACAAATAAATAAATAAATCTTAAAAAAAAAAAAAAAAAGTTGCCCCTCTATTGCTTATTAGCCTGGACAACATAATGATCTCTGTGTAGTCTCCTTTCCTAAAAAGGGGTTTAGTGGTAAGTGACCTACAAGGTATCATTCAGCTATTAAATTGTGTCTTGTTTTAGTATTGTAATTAAAGAACATTCAGTGACTAACAATCACATTTTAGAACTATCTCCTGTCATACTTTGTAAATACAGTTTGACAAGATAGCCAGTGTTTAAGACGAAGTTTAATTAATTAGATAAGTTTACAGTGCTAATAAAGGCAAACAGTGTATAGAAGTGGCAACTCTATGCAAATCCAGTGTTATGCTTGTCAAGGTTGTGTAGTGTGTATGTTATAAAATTACATAAATGTACAGATGTCTGCATTTCACTTGTGAAATAAAAATTCTAGTTTTCTCAAAACTCATAATAAATAATGCAGGGAAAATTTAAGGAAAAGCATCTCCTATGAACTCTGAATGTATTATCAAATTATTGAGTATCAGGTAGTTACTGATTTTATTGATGGTAATATTTGGTACAGAAAGTAAATGGTCTTTTCCAGATGTAGAAGTTAGATAATGTCTGACTTAGGCAGTCATTAAAAAAAAATAACTTTGAGACACATTTAAGTCAGCCTTAGCTCAGGAAGTAGGTATTTAAACAAGGCAATACAGAAGTTATACAAGTATTTTTAAAATGACTTCAACATAGGAAAAAACAGTTACCTCAAGCATAATCTAGGGAAAGAGACACTATCTACCTCCATAGTTCCATTTCTTCCCTCATTTTTGAATAGCTGTGATCTCAGTGGATTTCTTTTCTTTTTAATTTTTTTAAGATTTATTTATTTAATCATACAGAACTGGGGTACAAGCCAGAGATGGGGTGGGTGAGAGGATTCACCAGAGACAGAGTGGAGAGCAGAACAGGCAGATCAATGAAGTACATTACTGAGGGGAGCAGCAGGCGGGTCAGGAGAGGTCTGCCGCCATGTGGATTTCCTTTAGGGCAGGCGGGGATCGAACTCATGGGAAATGGCTTAAGCTTCTTAGTGCAGTGCTTTAACCCGCTGCGCCACCAGGGAGGGTCCGGATTTCTTAAGGAAACAAAACTCTCCTGTTTCCTTTGAACCATCATATAAGTTTTTTATCTTTTTATTTTGCTCCATTTACATTACTCAGAAACCATTATTAAGCAAAAGGAAGCCATAAGATAGTGATTTTCTAGTTTTAGTGCTACTCAAAGTAATTGTGTTATTTGTTAGAAGTCCAGGTACCGGGACATGACCATACCCTACTGAATCAGAATTTGGGGGTGGAGATTTGCCAGCAATCAGCTTCCAGGTGGTATTTGAAAACACTTCCGAGCAGTTAACAGATCCTAGTTTTTTGGACTGCCACAAAAACAAATTTCTTGACCATAAATAAAAATTTAGATGAAAAGTTTATAGATAAATCAAAATTTTATTTGTTTGAATCATTTCATCATTACCTGTGAGAGAACTGATAAATCAGTTTACTTTTATTTCATAGGGTTGATTGAACCATACAATCCACAGTTTAACACTCCTCCAGATGTGAAGTTTATTTATAGTCATTACTATTTCACCTAAGTTAAAAAACATTAAATGGTTTCAGCTACTTGGAAGTTTTAAGAAAAAAATCTTCCAGATTGCACTCTCCTTTTTTTTGGCAGCGTTCTGTAAATATCCATGCTCTATTCAGTGAAGAACAAACTCTGTAAAGAATTTTGTAACATGTACATATCTTCTATATAAGAAAAAAAGGAAAACACCAAAAAAAGCCCAAGAACATTGCTCAGCTTTTTCCTTATTCTGCACCCAAACTATGAATTAGCATTTTCATTTTTACTAATATATATATCTTCACCTAGTATGCACCTGGGCAATCTGTTTTTTAACTACCTCTGAAGAAGTTCAGAAAAAACTCTATGAAGAGATTGACCGAGTTTTTGGGAAGGGACCTGTTACTCCAGAGAAAATTGAGCAGCTCAGGTAAGAACACAATTAAGAGGATGAGGAGATCCATTAAAAGGCAAACTCGGGTTTACTTATCTGATTTAAATCTAATGTTAATAGATAATTTGGTTTGTTTTTAAAAGTCATAAGGGAGTTCTGGGAGACCTTTATTTTAGCTTGTATAAAATAGAATCAATGATTTCATAGGTGGGACTCTCACACCTTGTTGGTGGGACTGCAGAATTTGAAACTGTGGCAGGATTTTATGAAGTTAAGCATACACTTACCATATGCCCCAGCAATTCTACTCACAAGATTTATTCAAGAGATATGAAAAAATATGTCGGCACAGAGACTTGGATGCAAGAGTTCATAGCAGTATTATTCATAATAGCAAAAAACTGGAAGCAGTTAGGAGGTTGATCAACTGGTGAATTTTTAAGAAATTGTGTTATATTCATACCACGTAATATGCCAAGTAATAAAGGAGCACATAATCACAAAAAGCATGGATAAACCTCATTATGCTAACTGAAAGAAGTCAAACACAAAGATAACCTGTAATGCATTTGATCTCGGTGAAGTTCTAGAAAAGGAACAACTATGAATATAGAGACTAAACAACATACTGTTGTTGGAGAAAAAAGGAAATCAAAGCAGAGACTTAAAAAATACCTTGAGACAAATGGAAATGATGATAAAGATATCCAGATTTATTGGATACAGCAAAAATGGCCTTAAGAGGGAAGATGATATTTCAATATAGGCTCATATTAAGAAGAAAGAAAAATCCCAAATCAATTATTTCTTATATACCTAAAATAAATGAAAAAAGAACAAGTAAGGTTCAATGTTAGTAGAGGGAGGAAATTTTAATAAATGGAAATAAATGCAATAGAGATCAAAAGATTACACACAAAATATTAATGGAATGACAGAATTTGACAAAGTTAAAAGAGAAACTTCTAACTAGGCTGACAAAAATAAGAGAGAAAACATTAATAGAATCACAAATGAAAGAGGAGAAATCTCTTCATAATCATTGATTTTTTCTCAATGCCAGTAAACTTGATACCTTTGAAGTAATAGAAAAATTCCTAGATTAGTAGAATCTACCAATTCCTAGATCAAATTATTTTTTATAATACAACAGGGAATGTCCACTAATACATTTTTTAATGCCATTGTTACCCTAACAGCACAACCAGACAAAGATAGCACAAGAAAAATACAGACCAGTATCCCTGATGATGCTGGGAAAATTGGAAAGTCAAAGATTTATTTAAGAGATATGAAAAAATACTACACTTCATGAATGAAGTTGGATCTCTCACTAAACCCATACAAAAATAAATTTCAAATGGATTAAAGATTTAGATATAAAACCTGCAATAATAAAAAACATAGAAGAACACATAGGCATGATATTCACAATATCACTATATTTTTGGTAACTTGGTTACTTCAAGGTAAAAAATTTCTATACAATATTCTGGTTTCTTTTCAGATTATATAAATCTCTTTTTACTAAAAAAATTCTCTACAATGAAAGAAAATACATAACATTTACAAAGAAGCTATCTGATTGAATGGAAATATTTACACAATGAATAACTAATAAGAGATTAATATCCAAGATATGTAAAAAAGGCTCATGCAATTCTGCAGTAAATCAATAAGAAACCCAATTAATAAATGGGCAGCACGTACAGACAGTTCACCAAAGAAGATATCTAGAAGGCCAATAGACATGGAAATATGTTTGTCATCACTTCTAATAAGAGAGGCGCTGCTTAAAACCACGATGAAACACTATCTAGCACTGTGAGAATGGCACTTATTATAAAGATACCTAAAAACAAGTATTGGAGAAGTCTTGGGGAAAAAAGAATCTATTTCACAGTTGGGAACGTAAACTGGTATAATCATGGAGGAAAACAATCTGGATTTGCCTTAAAAAATGGAAATATCATATAACCAAGCAATCCTACTATTGGGCTTATATCCAAAGAGCATGAAGCCATCAAAACAAAACCACACATGTTTCATGATGTTCATTGCAGTGTAATGTATAATAAGCCATGGAGGCAGCTTTAATATCGTCAACAGGTAATTGGCTGTATTCACACCATGGAGTACTATCAGTAGCCTGAAGAAGGATGAAGTATAGCCACTTTCAGCAGAATGGAGTGAGTTTGAGAGAATTATGTCTAGTAAAGTCAGAACAGTAGAAACTGTACTGGACACTTACATAGTACACAACTAAATAATAGAAAGCACTTTTAAAAAAACAGTGGGCGTCAGTAAATGCCCTGGTGACTCTGAGATTAAGAGGGAGAGGGAGGAGAAAGGGATAAGGATATAAAGGTTGATAATGGGGAAAAGCAAACAGATATAAACTTGTAAAATTGTTAGAAAAACAACTTAGAAAAAAACCCCTTATTTAAATAAGCAAATTATAAGAAAGATGTCATCTATATGAATTTATAGATTATTAAAACAATTGAAGGGATATATAATCAAGAAAAATGTATGTGCATTTCAGACTAGCCCTCCCAAAATACAAATCTTCAGAAATTTTTTTTTAACAGATATTGTCGGAAAGTGCTTTGTGAAACTGTTCGAACTGCCAAACTGACCCCAGTTTCTGCTCGGCTTCAAGATATTGAAGGAAAGATTGACAAATTTATTATTCCTAGAGAGGTAGAAAACCTTTTTAATACCTATTTTAATACTTATAACTCATTCAGTTATTCTTTTCAAGTTTTTTAATGTGTACTTAAAAGTTTTTTTGAAAAGATTTACTTATGCATATAAGAGCTGGGGTGTAAGCCAGAGGTGGGGTAGGGGTGGTGACAAGAGGATTCACCAGAGACAGAGTGGGGAGCAGGACAGGCAGAGTGGCTGAATATACTGCTGAGGGGAGGAGCGGAGAGGCAGGAGAGGTCTGCTGCACCATGTGGGTCACCTTGGCCTGCCTGGGATTGAACTGGTGCCATAGTGACTGGTGGTAGTTGGATAGTGCTGAGATTTTAACTCCTATGCCACCAGGGGGGCACCTTGTGTGTATATTTTTGTAGATCTTTTTCTTGGGGTGTGTGTGTGTATGTATATATATGTCTGTGTGAATATATATGATATATATATATGGATATATATACACATATATATGTATATATATATATTTTTAAAGATTTATTTATCTATGCATACAAGAATAGGGGCACAGGCTAGAGGTATGTGTAGGGGTGGTAAGAGGATTCACCATAAGAGTGGGGAACAGACCAAGCAGAGCCACCGAAATACATTGCTGAGGAGAGCAGTGGGTGAGACAAGAAAGGTCTGTGCCATGTGGGGTTAGCTCCCTGCCCAGGGATGGAACGCATACTTCAGTGCCTGCAGACAGCTTCATAGTGCTGTGCGTTTACTCCTTGTGCCACCAGGGAGGCCCCTTTCTTGTATTTTTTACTGTGTGTGTGTGTTTATACACTTATGTTCATATATATTTTAAAAGCCTAATTCATATATGAAATTCTTCAAATAATGTTCGTCAGTTCCATTGTTGAGTGTATCAAAGCTGTTAGTACAACTGGCACTTGATACAGTTTCAACTCATTATTTGTAATGGATGCATAGTATTCTACTTATGTTGTATGAATGTACCATAATTAATTTAAGCATTACCCATTAATAGAAGTTTAGGTTGACAACACATTTTTTTCATCATTTCAAATTATAAATATGCAAAAGTGTAGGACAGAGCCTGAGCAGTGGAGTTTTGGGGGCCCTCCTGGGTATGCAGCAGGTTAAAGTGCAGCACTCTGAAGATATCCACAGCCACTGCAGCACCAGTTTGATCTCCGTCCCTGGAGGGGACCCGCATGGCGTGGCAGGCCTCTCCTACGCTGCCCACTGCTCCCCTCCGCAGTATATTTCAACCAGTTTGACTAGTCTCTTCCCCATTCTGTCTCTGGTGAATCCGCTCATCTCCCATACCTCTGCCTGGACCTTAGTTTTTGTATGCATAAATAAATAAACCTTTCAAAAAATTCTAAAAAAAAAGAACCATTGTCCTTCATTTTCTTCTATTATTTTATATTCACTATATTAAATGAGTATTTTAGGGTGAGTTGGCTTTCTGGCTTTGACTAACTAGAATAATTCTTTCTTTTGCAGACTCTTGTTCTTTATGCACTTGGTGTGGTTCTTCAGGATCCCAGTACTTGGCCATCACCATACAAGTATGACTGTCATTGTCTTTGTGATTATTTTATGTTTACACAGTTTTGCATTTCTTTTCTAAGTTTTGAGCTGAAAATTGAATATCTGATAATACAACCAAAAAAGGTCGCTTTCTACTCTTGTTTATTGTACGACACTCTCACTCTCCTATTGCCACCTCTAAGATCTGCTTAGTATCCCATCTCTACATTTGTCCTTTAATTTCAGTGGATCTTTGGAACCTTTTCTTGTTAAATGGATATTGTTTAGAAATAATAAAGCAAATAGAAAGAGACTAAATACATGTTGAATAATTTGGGAGCATAACAATAGGTGAAATTTAAGCACAGTGTGGCAGCTGATTCTGTTTTTTGAAAACCTGTTACAAATCTGTGTTTTCATAGTGAAATATGTAAAACGCCAGTAGAACGCTGTTGTGATTAGCCCCCATCTCCTTTTTAGATTTGATCCAGACCGGTTTGATGATGAGTCAGTAATGAAAATTTTCTCCTCACTTGGATTCTCAGGCACCCAGGAATGCCCAGAGTTGAGGTGAGACGATAAAGTAAAAAAGAAAGATTCCAGACTTGTACTTGCAGTTTCGATAATCTCTGTGAATACCAGAAATCTTCATAATTAAAGTATAATGTTTAGTCTTTAGTAACCAGTCAACATTTTCCTCACTAGGTTTGCATATATGGTGACAACCGTACTTCTGAGTGTATTGGTGAGGAGACTGTGTCTACTTTCTGTGGAGGGACAAGTCATTGAAACGAAGTATGAACTGGTAACGTCATCCAGGGAAGAGGTCTGGATTACTGTCTCAAAGAGATGCCAAACTTGTATTTAACTCTGTAGAGGAAAATATGTATTCAGAAAATACATATTGAATTCCTTTATAAACCAGGTATAAATGTATTATAGATATACCTATTAGTATTTCATTATGTAAATTGAGGTTCTTATATATCCAGGTTTCTGAATGCATAATAAACGTTCACTCTTATTGCCCCAATATACTGAAAATTTACACTGATAATTTTAATGGGAATCTTTCCCTTTACATTTTTGTGTTATCACTGTCAAGTCTATCATTTTCACATTTTTAGTTTAAACTAAAAAATATATTCTTGAAGAGAAATTATTTTGTATAATTTAGGAAATGGTTTCTGAACATAATCCTAAACCATTTTCACACTTCTAATAATTATATCAAAGGGAACTAAAGGACTTCCATGGTTTTATTTCTTAGATTAATATTCTTATTTTCTGAGTGTAAATTAGCTTGTGTTTAATAATTGGTACTAAACTGGAGTAACTCATTGACTAAACCTGTTTTGTATTTTTGTTTTTACACCTCTTGAGACAGATGTTAATTTCATTATTTGTATTAGGCTTATCATTTCAAACAGTTCTAAAAAAAGAACAGTATTTCTTAATGTGTTTTGAAATGCTTCTCAAAATAATGGTTGAGTTTGAGGCATGTCTGTCCTCCTATTTTGCTAGAAATCTTAGCACTATATTGCTCCACTAATTTTCTCTTTTCATATTAATTTTTGGATGTTGCGTTTTTATTCTTCCATATGTACACATATTATAACTCTCATGGGTGAAAAAACAGAATCCCAAATCTTTTTATTAGTCATATACTAAATATAATCTATAAATAAGAAACAAGAGAGCACTGACCAAAAATTTTTTTTTAAAGATTTATTTACTTATGCTTACAGAACTGGCATAAAAATAAAAATCTTTTACAGAAAGATTTATTTATTTATGCTACAAGCCAGAGGTGTGGTGGGTAAGAGGATGCACCAGAGACAGAGTAGGGAGCAGAACAGACAGAGTGACAAAATACACTGCTGAGGGGAGCAGCGGGCGGGTCAGGATAGGTCTGCTGTGCCATGTGGGTCAGCTCCCTGGTGAGAATTGAACTCTTGCTACAGCGGCTTCTGAGAGCTTCATAGTGCGGTACTTTAAACTGTTGTGCCACCAGGGAGAGCCCTGACCAAAAGTTTTAAAAAAAGGAAGAAAGAAAAGTAAGTATAATTGAACATCTTTGCAAAATATGACTGAGAGGGATAAATGTTTATAATACATGTAAAGAATTCTCAAGTGGTAAGAAAGCATGTGATAAGTAGATGGACAAGAGAAAAAAATAGTTTAAAAAACAGAAGCTTACAAGGCAGGGTGAGGGGGCATTCCCAAACCCCAAACCCCAAACCTGCCTGTTCTAAATAATATCTGCTAGATGAGAGAGTAGAATTTTGGATCAGGTGGTCACTGATCAGCAGTGATTGAGAGCAGCTGAGCGAGACAGAAAGCCAGATTGAGAGAGAGCACACAAGCATTTTGCCAATAAATGTGGCAATGTATAATTATTAATAATAATTGGAGGGCTCTCCCTGGTGGCACAATGAGTAGAATTAATTCTGTGTATATTTTTGGGAAAAAATGAAAAACACATTTTTATCTGGCCCACAAAATACATAGTTTCACTATTTTATATGAATAGATATTTTTCTAAAACTATGTCAAAAATGCTTTCACCTTAAAACAGTTGTATTTTAAAAATTAAGTTTTATTTTATGAAAATAATATAAGGTTTTTTTTTGTAGAAAAAGCTAAAATCTTCTAAACACAAGAAATATAGCAAACTCAGTTATTTACAATTTCCCTAAATGAAGTTAGCCAATGTTGAACTTCTGAGGTAGTTCCTCCTACTGTCTTTTCATCCACAGTATAAGTCTGTATAATTTTTACAGACTTATACTTAATGTTGTCTTTTAATATGGTATGAATCAATAGGATTCTCTGTAACTGAAATATTAGTATCCTCAATTAGTACAGATTTTTGTCATTCCTTTCCTCATGATATTCTTATTTTTTTCAAGTTTAAAATGGCTTCTGGTATTTAAATGATTTCACCTAGGGCTAAAGAAAAGAAACTTGTTTGCTCTGAATTGAATGTTTGTGTCCAGCTAAAATTTGTATGTTGAAGTCCAAAGCCCTAATTCACATTACTAGGTATTAGGAGGTAAGTAAGAGCTTTGGGAGACGATTAGGTCATGACATTCCACCGACATGAACAAGGATGTGTTCTTATAAGAAGACATATGAGACAACTCTCTCTCCATGGCAGGATATAGGGAGGTTTTTTATTATTGTTCTCCTAAAAGAATATAGAAGGAGGTTTCAAATAAACTAATTCACCCCTCCTCACAAAGTGACCTTATTTCTCCATTCAGTCAATGAACCAGGTTTACATTTGTACATTTAAGTTGCTAAAGTTTAGGACAAATTTAGGTGTTACAGTGAGCATTTAAGAAATGAAGTTACTATACTATAATTAAGTTCAACCTTTGATGACATTAACTTATAAAGGAAATCTTAAGAATGTTTGTTGTTTATGAAATTGGGGACAAACACATTAAGATACTCATTTTTCCCCTCCGGGTCTGTGAATAATATTGTTAACCTATAAAATGTGCTTTTCCCACATGTAGTTATGGTGACAAATTGAAAATTCCTTTGAAAACAATTCAACTGAGTGTATAAAACTAAGGCCATGACCAGTGTACACCAAGAAGCTTGTTGGTAACTGTAAGAATACAGCAATGAGAAAAATGGACACTTGTCAAGGAAGTTTTTATAATGTCATCAAATCCAAATTAGTGGCTGTATTTTTCTCCTCAGCCAGTGCTATATTTGTTTCTTAAGTTAATAAGTCAAAGATTAGGATAGAAGGGGAGAAGATGGGGTTGGCCATGGTGAATGACAATAAAGCAGTTTCTGTTGCTGCAGTAGTCAGGAAATCAGTACCGCCAAGAAAACACAATACAGTGTTGCTTTGTGCAGGGGAGTGACCTGCACTGATTAAAAAGGATTGAGAGGGAAAGGTGAAATAGCAGCTCAGTTCAGAGTAGAACACAGGACTGGAACTAGCATTTGTTACTATCTCATTTAGTTTTCAAGGATCACAGTAGATTTATTGATAAACTAAAATGTTTTTCATTCCTGCTGGAAGAAGTTACTTTAAATTAACATAGGCAGATTCCTAGCTAGAAGTAGTAAGTGGAAGATCTAAACAAATTTTATAATACCTTCAATGGGGTTATTGGAATTACCAGGGAATCAAGAAAGCTTCAATTGATGTACTGTTCATAATAGCTAAATAAGAATGATTAAAAGTGATATAGCAGTAGTACTACAAGAAATTAAAAAAAAAAATACTGCCACGTCTACCACTTTAGTACAACTTTAATTTTTTCCTGCATCTACATACATGCATTTTAAAACACTGCAATCGTAAAAATATGATCTATTTTTCACTTAATGGATTTTAAACATTTTCCTTTGTTACTTTTTTGTACAAGCTCTAAGAACATACCATTTTGGGGAATAGGCTTTTAAAATAGAGATTAATTTAATATTTGATTTATAGAATTGTATGACATTGAATGAATGGATAATTGTAAAATTTGAGTTAGGAGCTATTTTGTAAACATCTGGTCTGTAAATAAAAAGACATAAATGATATCCTTTATTCTACTTCCACTCCCCCTTTTAATTGGCATACAAATTTGGTGGCTAACTTTCTAGAGAGTGGAAATGGACCTTGACACAGTGTAATAAAATGCTATAAGCAAGTAAGTCACAGTTATCCTGTTTAGTAGTTAAAATTCACTTGCATCTAAAATATTTTTTTTAACACATGATGATAAGGAATTAAATAGTGTTACCTTAACATTATAAATATACCATGAAGTTGTAAGATGCTTGTTTTAAAAAAAGACAGTGTTGGGCCCTCCCTGGTGGCGCAGCGGGTTAAGCACAGCACTGAGAAGCAAAAGCGTCTTCCCGCATGAGTTTGATTCCCGCCTGCCCGTAGGTGACCACATGGCACAGCAGACCTCTCCTGACCCGCCTGCTGCTCCCCTCAGCAGTGTACTTCGTCGATCTGCCTGTTCTGCTCCCTGCTCTATCTCTGGTGAATCCTCTCACCCTCTGCATCTCTGGCCTGTACCCCAGTTCTGTATGAATAAATAAATAAATCTTAAAAAAAATAAATAAAAAAAGACAGTGTTTCTGATTTAGTGAATGAAATCTCTTTGAGTTTTCTATAAATGAAGAATAAAGTAAAGGAAATTATTGAAATTACTTACGTATTGAGAAAGATGTATAGGTAGTTAGACTACCTTCAATTCTTATAGGACTCTGTAATAGGCTAATCTCTCATTATTGGAAGTCTGTAACATTCTTCAGAGATGCCTGTGAACATAGGTTTAAATAGGCTATAATTATGTAAAACATTAATTGAAATAGGTGAGACGCAGCAGTCCTTTGTTCTTTCTCACTGATTCATCATTAAGATAGGAAATATTTAAGAATCAAAAATTGTTATTAGATTAGTGCAAACATTTCCCATATTGTCTCATTGAACACTGATTTGTGAGCTACTCTGAGAAAAATGTTCATTGGTCATGGTCATTCTTCAGTTCTCTATATTATATTCTTTCTAGATATTTATATTACATATGAATATATTGGAAGTGCTGAGAAGGCCTAGTGTAGAGAAATTTATCTTAACTTGATTTAATTTTAATACTGAATGATCTAAATGTGTTGATGAAACTCGCTCCCCCCTCCCCCATGCCTTTCTCCTGTTACACCTACTGCCCTATAAAATCAGTGTTTGATGGAAGAGTATTCCATGCAACAGTGCTCTGGAGACAAAAGGAGCCTTAAGGAACATCTGTCTTAGTTAGTTTCTTAGCTAGTCTCAACACCATGGCCCAAAGATTTTCTCGACCAGGAATAACTATAGTCTTAGCATCAAACCACCCGAACTTCATGTCCTGTCACACTCCCTTCTGTACCCACCTACTAGCTCTACTAACTCCTCTCCTCTTGCAAATTCTTTTTCAAGGTAACAGGAT